TGGGATGATGGATGGGAGGATGGATGAATGGATGGAGGGAGGATGGATGGGAGGATGGATGGATGAGGGAGTATGGATGGGAGGATGAGGGATGGATGGATGAGGGATGGATGGATGCTTTCCTATACTGATTCTGTTCCCACAGCACTGACGTAGCTGTCTACACTTAGAAGAAGGACTAGTCCCAGTAGGTTCGATCACTAAGATTTCGTTCACAACAAGGTCCAGATCTCAGTTTCATCCCATGTCAATCAAATCATGGTTATATATTTCCACTTCATCACAGTGTTATTTATTTTTTGTTCTGATTAAGACACACATGGCTAACAGAGTGAACTCCAGGCCTTCATTACAAATAATAAACATATTCTTCTTCATAATAATACAATCAAAAGTGCTTATTCCAAAAACGTGTCTCGTTTCTCTTCGTATTTTCTTCTTTCCTTTCCTAATTGTTTCTTCAAACAATTAAAGAGGAATTTGAGGCCAGCTTTTCAAGAAACAAATCACATCTGCAATCGGAAAAACGGGCCCTTTTTAAAACGAGCGCCCACTATCCCTCAGTGGGATAAATGATCATGTGACTGCGGCGTGAGGAGCTTGAATCTGGGTCTGAAAGGGGTCGGTGCACATATGAATGTGTGCGTTGGTGGATACGTCTTTTCAACAAACTTGTGTTTGATTTCATAGAGACGCTTAACAGCTCCACTGTTTCACAGCATGTGAGACATGAAGGTTTGGAGGAATGAGCCCACACTGATTCGTCCACTCGCTCACCGCCGAGCACACCGTGTCTGCTCCTCTCTATGTTGTGTCTGCAGTACGCTATATGTCTGATTGGCTTTTCTGCCTAACTCCATAAACAGTAGGCGATTACCGTAAGGACTGGTTTACCTGCGCCCACTGTTTTACGCCGTACTGATAAAACAGAGCTCTGGGTTTATGCATCATGGGGAATTTTTTTCTGGCACTGATTACCGTTCCAGACAGATCCAGCACTTGGTCCGGATCCGGACCGAGGTCAGCCATTTGGTGACGTATGGACTAGTCCCTTAGCTTAGCTGGAAGTCATACAGTCAAATAATACGTCAATAAATCGTATCGATGAAAAATAAACAGGTCCAAGCTTCTTAGAGGTCAACAAGTAAAACAAAGCTAAAAGCTAAAAAAGAAGAATCATATTATATTACATAACCTTTTTAATGCAAACTTTATTTATTATTTATTGAGCCTCGGATCAGCTGAAATGCTCAGTTTATTTAAATCCAGGTTGAAGACTCACCTGTTCTCAGCTGCATTTGAATAAAGCACCAAATCTGCACTGTTTTACTTTTAAGCTTAAATTTTAAAACGTACTCTTTTTTTCCCCCCCATTTTAAATCCTGCTTTTTATTTGTTTCTGTTTTTTAATGTCTCTGTAAAGCACTTTGGATCAACTTGCTGTTGAATTGTGCTATATAAATAAACTTGCCGTGCCTTTATTTTTTATGCATTTTAATCATTTATTGCTTTGTGATTTTGGCAGTTTTTGTCCTCTGTAGATTGAGAGCCTGGAGCAAGACTGCCCAGCTTCCGCTGCCCTGCTCTTCTTGGATTCACTTGCATTAATCTGTGTGTCTCAGTTTTGTTGCACATCCCTTTTTAGTCAGCCAGGCCTTCCCTCTCCGTCAATATTGGCGTTGACTTGGCTGCAACAGTAAGTAGATTAAAGGAACAGTGATTGAGGGCAAATCAATTACTGTGGCTCAATGGTCTGTGTATGGGGGCTCTACTGTAGCATTACCCAGCCTTCGTTTTCTAATAGGAACATTCTGAACCAGCGTTCAGGGTAACATCCAGGTTGTATTGTTGAGTCTAAAGCAGTTTATGGGTGATGAGTATGGCTGAAAGCGTCGATATGTCCTGTCTCCTGGTTGTATCCATATAATGATGACTACATGCTATTTTTGGTGTTATTATCTTTATCATTTAACTTTCTTTCTTCTACTATATCAGCATGTTGAATTCTACTGCTATCATACAGTAATATGATACAGTACTAATATTTTGAATATGGTGCACTCTGTAAGTTTATGCGGTGATTAAACAGAGTTCAGAAACATCCCACTTCATTTTTACTGGCATCGAGTTAAGTGGAACCTCGACGGTAATATTCTGGCTCATATATAAATATATTTTTGGCATTCCTCTGAAATGTAGGCCCACTACATCACGCCTTCTTTTTAAGGGAGGTTCTGCGTGATGTGGGGCGACTCCTCTCCTCCCATCGCTCCCCAGTCCGCCCAGCAGCGTCATTTCGCCTTCGCGTCCCGCACTTGTTGGATGTGTCCGGTTTAAATTCCGTGATTTCAAGCTTCCTGCCGCTTGCTTTCTCTCTTGGAGTCCCGAGAATAACGCCGCTGTGAATGGAGGTGAACGCGTTTTCACACACTACATGCGCGTAAAAAGCGCTCATCTCGGAGTTGTCCTCGTCCTTATCGGTTTGTTTCCTCCGGTTGCCGCGCCGTCAGTATGCTCCATTTTTCAGTGTCCTCCGGTTCTGGCTGTGCTCACAGTCGTGCATTTGACCTCTAATCTGGGGTTTCCACACCGCTGGTGTTTAGTTTCCCTGACGGCTGTACGCGCTCTGGACTCCGGCTCATCCTCGGAGAAGTTCCGCCGCAGTCCCATGTACCGCGTTTCTCTGTCTTCCTCTTGCTGCGATAAGGATGCTGGTGGATTTTTCATGGTCAGTTTCCACAAGATTGGCCCAAGATTGACGAGCGGACCATGTAATTAGATCAGGTATGTGTGGTTGAAATTGAAACTGTGAGCACAAAGCAAGACGTTTTCAACAAAAATATAGATTTATTTAAAATCCATTTATTTATTATTTATTTATTTTTAATCAGAGGTCTTAGTTTGTGATTAGAATGATTGGGGTTCAGAAGGGTCACTATTCTGTTAGGTTTATGAAAATGTCACATTACCTGGCAAAGAAGGTCTAATTGAGGCTATTTTTTCTCTTTTATGCTTCGTGAAATGTGGGCAGTGGAGATAAAGTGAGGGCGGAGAAGCTCAGCTGGAGGTGTTTGCCATTTTGATTCTACTCTGATCGCCTGCTGGCAATTCATTAAATGAAATTAATTAAACAGTGATGTGTAGATGAAGGCAGTGACGGCTACTTCGCTGCTTGGGGTTAGTGTTTTTTGAACAGATGGGGGAAACGAGGTAAGGTTCCTGAGAGTCACTGCTGGGGTCTGAAGTTCAGTTTGGCCCCCGGAGAGGGATCCCCCCAAAGTCCTTCACTGTACTACATGCTAAACATGACACAGATACAACCATTTAATGGTCACATTGTACAATCAAGTTGCAAAATACGACGCAGAATTTTGGACTGAAAGAAGAAAAATATTTATCCATCACAAATAACTGCTCTTACTTAAATGGCCACTTGAGGCTGTATCCAAAGGAAGTCAATCCTCAGAGTCCTGCTACCAAAGCAAAGTTTCAAAGAAAAAACGTGCTCGCTTTGCTTTGGTTTCTGAGTTTCTGCACTCGAGGTTGTTTTTTTGTATTCGCCTGATCAGAACCTGGAGAACTGATGGTGCTCGCTGTTGCTCATGGAGGCTGCAGAGTCACAGGATGACGAAGCTGGTTATGGCTCCGTTATGTAGTGTCGTTTGTTAGTTTATTAGCCTTCTTTCACTTGCATACACACGCATGCAAAAACACAATCCTCCTCACAACACAGACTGTATGAACGACGGATGCTGCTTCAGAGTCTGAAAAGTGACACCAAGGACCTGCATTCTTTTCATCGCTCAACAGGGGGCGACTTCTGTGAGACAAACATCCAGTTGTAGACAAATCTATACGATAATGTGCTTGACTCGACTGCTCCTCAGTAAAGATTTTCCTGATGACTTTATGACCTCTAGCTTCAGGTCATGTGGACGTTTAAATTATGGTCACTATTGAGTGAATAATGGGGACGATGCAGGCAACTTTTTACCAGAGAAACTTTATCAATCCCAGAGGGAAATTTAGTTGCCCTAGCAGCAATATATATAACAACCATCAAGCACTCGTATAAAATGAGTGTAGAAACAGATGCATATTAAGATAAACAGATAAATATAAAGATATAGGTATAAATATAAAAGATTAAAAAGAACATTACGGCGATCGGGAGCTGCTACGGCAGGCTGCCACTAGGGCGGCGCCATCTTAGCCAACTTTTAACCTCAACGTCTTAACACATGGCGTTGACTTCACAGTCAAATATGTGCATCGCCTGTCAATTCAATTCAATTTTATTTATATAGCGCCAAATCACAACATAAGTCGCCTCAAGGCACTGACGTATCTGGTTTCAAAACACCAAGGTGGCGATGGCCCAAAGCTCAGTTTTAGGCATCGCAAAAGCTCTTTCCTAAGCACCAGGTGGTGTTTTGGTGGCTACGTCAGTCGTTTATACAGTATTTCTGTGGAAACACTGTTCATATACAGTAGCGTATATGTAGTGACACTGTGTGCGACCAACATGTGTAACGTCTTTGTGCTGCTGCCTCATTTGCACATGCAGCAGTTACTTTGCTGTCCGAGAAAGAAGAAATATATTTAACCGTCTTTTCTTTAGATTAAAGTTGACATGTTCAAAACGCCTAAATCAGAGATGTCAAACTCATTTTACACTTTGGGCCCTTTGACAGCTTCGATCTGAAGCGGGCCGGACCAGTGAAATCCCTCTTTTCATCTGCGTAAATACGTTTAATATAAAGACCTAAATAAAGCACAATATCAGCAGTTTTCCTACATGAGAAAGAAATGCTGCTTTGGGCTGAAATAGTAAGAAATAAATGTGTAAATTTAGAGAAAAACTTCAGTTAGTGCAATAATATATTAATATAAATATATATTATTCTAAAGTAGATCATTTTTTTCAAGTGAGACATTTTTTTTTCTTTTTGCTTGTTTTTATTTTGAACCCACTGATAAATCATAAAGTAGAATATGAGGGAAAAAAACTATTTCTTCTGTCATTTAATGGTGTATCTATTACTTATTTGCATTGGTGAATGAGCAGCCATGGGAAGGTCTTTATCAGTAGGAAATACAGTTAAAAGCTCTTCTTCACATTTTCCAAAGCCATCCAGTGGGCCAGATTGGTGTCTTTGGCGGTCTGATTCCGGGCCTCGGGCCTCATGTTTTACACATCTGCTTTCACTGACCAGTGACTTTGTTGGGAAGCTGCTACGTGATGGTGTTCAGCTCTTGTCTTGGAAGCAAAGCCTCAGAGAGCTGCTGCTGCACTGACGTCCAGTGTTGACTGCAGACTTAGCCTTTGCTATGGGTGGTGTTTTATCCATGAGCGGATATGTTCACGTCAAACATCCAAACAAAACCTTCGCTTCTACGTTTATGGTCGTTTATTTCCGCCACATTAAAACCTTGTGTGACCCATTTCTCATGGAGACTGGCTGGAAAACACAGCTTGACGAAATATCTGTAGAGCAGCCTCTCTATATCCTCCCGCTTCCACACACACACAAACGTCTTAATTCCTTCACCTCCAGTGGCTGTGATACAACAGGAAGTGGGCTGATTTCCCAGAGGAGTCTGCAGTCAGCGCTGTCACAGCTAACGCAGCAGCAACACACAAAATGTATTTAACACGAAGGCTGTGCGATGGTGCGCTGCGCCTACACTTCAAAACACTGTGGGAAATGACAACTGGCTGCTAGCAACATTTGATTTGTCAGTACCAAGCTGCTCTGTAACTGCCTGCTCTGGCTATGTGACTAAATATTTGATCATCCTCAGTGAAGTTAGGAAACAGTTTGCCTTATAAAACCCGACGAATCCTCCCGATGTACACGATTTCTCGTGTTTCTGCTGCGGATACGGGAATGCTGGGAATATTTAACCTTGTGCTGGCCAATTTAACCTCTTCAAGCCTGTTGGTGGGACAGAAGCAGCACACTGTATCCTTGTCCTAACACAAACACTTATGTTTTTGTACAAGCATTTTAATAATGGTTCCTGCAATTTGAAATCATGCAGCCAAAGCAGATGCATTAAAAGTCTGCTGAAAAAGAAATCATCCAGTGATCTAGTGGTTGAATTTTGACCCACAATCTTGCATCATGTCCACACAAGATGAACATCTGAAGCCCGGTAGGCGCCGTGTGTGACATAATGTGTATTATATGTGTGTCTCATCCAAATGATGACAGTCTCAAACTGCCCTGTGGTGTTTTGAATTCAAATGAGTATTTTTTGAAATCAAAGCGCAGCCATTGTTGCCTCAGGGAAGGCCTGTGTCAGAGATTCTGACTGTCTTGCGTTCTTGTGGCACAGTGCTGTACTCAGCCTCCCTTTGGTTGTAAAGTCCTTGCATCCTCCTGCTAACACTGCACTGAGTGTATTTTCTGGGACAACATGCATGAAAGAGTGTGTCTGAGCTGCCGTAGCTGTGTGTGTGTTTGTTGGGGGTTGGCGGAGAGATTCTCAGACGACACGGGGAAGAGGAAAGTGTTTCAGTGTTTCAGGAGCCTTGCGTGAATTATTCATCGCCCCTTAAGGTCTTTGTGGCTGCTGTATTGATGTTTCTTGCCATAAAAGTTGAGAGTTGCGCGTACTGTAGTCACACATGAAAGGAGAGGCGAGCCGCGTCCGAGCTGCAGTGCAGCACGAGCAGGACAGGACGCTAAGTTCTAGCATCTAACAGCAGTCAGACCAGCTTGTTTTCACCTCTTTATTAGCTGCCAGCTAGGATTTGAACACAGACCTGAATCTACAGTGATGGCTGGTTTCTAGCATGATCTGGGTCTGGAGCTGAAAGCTACTTTCAGCTTATAAATGTGCCAAAAAGATCATAAAGAAACTCCTTCATGTAGTTGTAAGCTGCCCACCTCCACCTGAGTGCTAGATACACGATTAACAGTAATATGTTGCCTTGGAATATTTGGTTCCTGGTACATCGTTAAACTATAGAACTTGATAGATATTTTTATTTTGTATTTTTTCCTATCTTACTCCTATTACAGCTCACACACAGTATGCTGACATTAAGGGAAGTGGGCATCCTCATGCTCCTGTCCTCTCAAACACACTGTTTTGAGATCTACTTTCTGTTATTCAGCTTTAGATGGTCATTCGTGACGCTAACTTCCAAACGCTGTAGCACGGGGTTGTGAACGCCCCTTGCCCTGAAGCGCAGGTACCCTGGGTTACGATGAACCGAATGAGAAGAAGGGCTGTTGGCAAAGCCGGTGGTCTCTGGAAGAGAGATGCTGTTATCTGCTAATGTAGCTCTACCGCTGCTGGCTGCTTTATCTGTGGTGACTCATCAAAAACGCACACACACAAAGACGCATGCATACAACTTCTAGATGACACCAGACTGACTCTCCTGCACAGGAAGACAGGGGAAAGGGGAACGAAGCTCTTTGGCATTTAGATTTGTGCACCATTTGTTTTCACACATTCAATGATGGACTTGAACTTTTAAGGATCTTCCAAAGATGCACATGAGAACTGAAATGTCCAACCCTGTGAGTCTGTGAAGGTTCTCAGTCCTCCAGGTCATCGTAGTCGGAGGAGCTTGGAAAGAAAAGCGTCTGGACTTCTTTAAGTTTCATCCAAGAAGCTTCTTCAGTTCTAAGAGCAACTGGTGGAGAGTCCCAGATTTTAAGCCCAATGGGAGTGTCGCCCCAAGAGGGTCATGGACCCCCTATTGATCCGCTACCTAATCACACGAGTCAAGGTGTGAACACGGGTGCAGGTCACAATCAACCAAG